AGAACATCCATTCATTCCAACCGAAGTTCTCTTGGTACACTCTGTGCCTCTCAAATGTTAATTGGTTATTCCCTATATTATCCAGCCTATAAGAACTTAAATATAGCTGCAGAAGTGTTTGCTCAGTTTGTGTTGTACAGGACCACTGCTCTGAAAATACGAAGGCGTCAGTTCAAACTTCCAACAGCTGTCTGTATTTTGGTTATCCTACTTGCAAACACTGAAACACGGGAGTCTAAATTTAAGCCGATTTGAGTAAATGGGAATCATTTTAGTTAATTCCATGTAATCCCATGTAACTAGTTTCTGAAATGGGCTGCTACTGAATTGCTCTCTAAAAAGAAACACTTCAGTGATGTTTGAGAAGTTAGACATTTGTACCCCTTGGCTGCCCTTTGGCCAACATCATTGGCAGACAGCATGAAAACCCTATTTGTCTGGATCAAATTCTTTGCAAATTGGTTTACATAAGACAAAATAAAAATGACAAAGTAGTTGTTGTGTAAAGATTATTATTTTAGCTAACTTTTAAAAATAATTCCTATCTTAGAAGGCAGCCAGTTTGCAGAGTCTTACGCATTACATTCAGGACAAACTGTGTTACAACTTTAAAAAGATAAATTTTATATTGTGTTGTTCTGATTCACTGCAATGAGCAGTTCACCTAAGGGTAACATCTCCTAAATAACTCCACTGATGGCCAAAGTATTAGATTAGCCATAATGTTAAATAAGCTAAGAATGAAGTTCCTTTGAAATACTGTTCCATTGGGAGAAGAGTAAGGCATGATCCATAGGTATCTATCAAAAATTTCAGAGAAAGGAAACAGAAGAATGGATTGGCATGAAAGAAATGGTACTTCTTGAAATATATACAGTATTTGTGTGTCTAGGGGAAAAGAAATTAAAAAAGCACTTTTTCTTGTTCAACCAGCTAACTAGATTATAGTTCTTATATTAATTTAGTAGATTATATGAATACCAGGCAAGAAGCAAACGTAAATCAGAACGTTGGAGGGATGAACAACATGAAACAATGTTATCTAATGGGACCCAAGAGGTGTGCCTTCTTTGTCATGATACCTGCCCTGTACAACAGCGTACCTCTTAAGACTTGAATGGCACCAAATCTGTGGCCTTCTAAAGACCCTGAAACCTGGATCTTCCCCATGCATTGGGCTAAGCCTGTTTTGTAATAGTTCAAGAGAACGTTTGTGGTTGGCATCAAATGTACTACATTCTTCTTGTTGTTTTTATTTTTCTTTTGGTTATTTTTGTTCATTTAATTTAACCCACGTTAGCCACCTAGAGCTGCAATTTGTGATTGCAAAGTTGGGCGACCATACGAATTAATTAAATAAATAAACTAAAAACATAATATATTTTCATAGCGTTTCCCTTTTCCCCTCCTTCCATCCAGTTCTGAAGAAACACTGGTCACATCCATTTTGTTAGGTTATGCTGGGATGATTAGCTTATTCATAAGCAAAAAACAAATCTTTCTACAAATTCTAACTTGTTTAGTAGAAGAAAACATAATCTAGAACAGAGATGCAATGCTAATATACTGACGCTTGACTTCTTTACCATTATGTGAACAAGAAAAACAAGAACAAATATAGGATACAACAGCAAGAAATTCACGCATATTGTAGTTTAATAACCCTGCATTCCTGACTTAATGGGATAGGCAAGTATAGCTATTGCAAACAATCTTATCCTTTAGTTTCATTCTGACCGCTTATTCCAGTTTTAGAAGGCAATTTTTACATAAGCAAAGCTTGGTAAAAATGCATCATCAATATTTAAGAGTCAAAGAAATGCAACAGTTTTTAAATTCCACAAAATGTAATACCTGAATGCATATTTTGCCATTAATCAATTTATTTTTGCCAAGTGATGGGAAAAGCACACTGAATGTGAAGTTTTCCATCTTTCTATAGGGAAGCTCTGAAAGACTTACCATCGCATTTCTGTGTCACTTCATTAAACTTGTGTCCAGCTGGGCATTTGCACTCAAAAGATCCAACTGTATTAATGCAATTTCCTCCTTGACAAATCCCAGGGATAGCTTGGCATTCATCCACATCTATCATGCAAAAAAAAAAAAAAAAACCACACAGTTAATTTGTCCATACAGATACAAACACACATTCATTGCTTCTGTACCCTGCGCTATATTTCTTCCCTGGGGGAGATTTGTGAATTATTAAACATTTTCAGAAAAGATTCAGAAGTGGCCATGTCTGTTTTCATATGGATGCCTGAAAAAAGACATGGCTGCTTTAATCAGGTGCCGCACATTCCGATGTAGCTCTTCCAAATCATCTTTTGAGTATGTGCAGCCCTATAAAATACTTTCTCAAGCAAAAAAAGTTAAGTTTGTTCTACTGAAGTATATGATTTGGCAGACATTTTAATGAGGGCTCTGCTTCATTCCTAGGCCAGAGATAGCCAAACTATTGTCTATATCACAATTCTCCAGCATTCTGACACATCCCAAGCTGTCTGTCCCATTGGACTTAATTTTTTTTCAGATTTTATTTAAAATTAAATTAAATAAGAACTGTAATGCTACAAAGCAAGGAACCAGCCTTCAGCCCCTAAAGGACTATAGTACTAAAATGTACTCCATACAAGCCCCATGCATATTCTTAGACAATAACAAAATGGAGGTTGTCTATAGCTCAGTGATTTACTTGCCCAGAAAGAAAACAAAATATATTGAAATAGTTGCACCTAAGAAGGCTGGAACTGGGGCTGGGAGCAATTTCACCAGTTTGCCCTCCGGTCAAGGGGCATTTTAGGACTGCCCACATTTGCGATGGCAACTGCGACAGACTCTCAAAATTTCCAAGGTGCCCACTAGTTTAAAAATGCCCTGCCTCTGTCTAGGCTATAGAGAAAAAATAAACAGAGAACTTGTATACATTTCAACTACTTTATTTTTAGCTTGTCCTTTTCTGTTAAACGTTTTCATCCTCAATGGATACAACTTCTCAGAAATAAAGAAATGTATATAAATATGTAGGTCTGTTGGGATTTGCCAAAACAAATCAAAACCACGCGAAGATGTTCCTGGTGGAAGCTGAATGCTGTCATCCAACAACTCGATTTATAAACTATGGGATGTGACCCATTGTTAATTTGTAGGGAACAGATCTGTTCTCCAAATACTGGACTTCGCTAAGTTTAAACAGGAGCCAATGCTAGCTTAGGACACTGAACAGTTAGAACTTGATCAAAATGTATACACACTGTTTATGTAGTTTTGAGAGTCATTGCAGCTGTTGAAAGACATGAAAAATGGCTTGGTTTTTGCTAAACAATATTACATGTTTCTAAAACAATGCTGTGTCTTGAGTTCACCCTGGGAGAGATTTCGGATTCACAATAATAATATGGGATTTATAATCTTTACCTTTTCTACACCCACAAATTACTGTCTCTCATTAAACAACATTTTAGAGAGAAGGCTTGCAACAACAACAGGAAAAAAAATCCTCAAAGACAGAATCTTGAGAATATTAAGCCCACACCAATTCAGCACATAGCTGCTGTCCCTGTTAACTTTCTCCTATTTCCTGCCAGACGTTCAGACAATAAAAGAATTTATACAGCTGGATGTATTAGAATAAAAGCCAAAAGCAGGGCAAGAACTTTCAATGGCAACACAGGCTGAGGCATCTTGGCACATATTAAGATTCAAAATCAAACATAAATGGATTACAATTAGCATATTGTGCAATAGGCTGTTTTTAACCCAGCAATCTTAAGAGCTGTCTCCAGGTTAGGGAGACTGCTGTATTAGCATGTTTTAAAAACATGAAAGGAAAACCTGGAAGGTTTGCAGTGTCACCAAAATCAGTTCTGTTTGCCTTAAAAACTCAGTGCTTTTTACTGTAGTAGCTTTTTGGTAGTGAAGTCGTGAAATGAAAGAATGTTATGGTGAAAACCAGAAAGACCTTCTCATCCAGAGGAACTGAGAAAATGGTGAAATAAGAGTAGATATAACAACAGTACTAATACTAATAATCATCATCTAACCATTGTTTCTGCACCTTCTTTGCATAACATTGATTTAGGACTTTGGATGAAGCCCTCTTGTAATACATAACATGTAAAACACTTGTGTGACACCATACCTTGGCAAGCTCCTGTCCGTATGTTTGGAATGAATCCACGCCGACAAGGATGAGGCTGGGCTGGACACATTTCACAGGGGTGACCCCATGCTCTCCCCACTGTTGCGCAGCAGAGGGTTTTTGTGCAGACGATCCCGCTGAGTTGCCCCTGACACATCTGGTTGGTCACCAAGGTGAAGCACGGCCCTGTCCTGTAATCTGAGTCACAGCGAGGAATCCTCATCAGTATTACATTTGGAGTGAATTACGTACTAGGGATTCAGATCTGTCTACATAATATTCATTACTCAGCCTTCAGACTGGCTCATCCTTTTTTTTAGATCTGGTCCTCCTAATCCCAGGCTGAGACACTGAAGCCAGGGAGTAGCAAAAGAAAGTCAGTAAATCAAGTCTCTTACATTGGGGAAAGACAAGGAATAGTTCAGGAAACACCGTGAAAATGAGGAAAGGGCAGTTGAAATCCCTTCTTCTCTGCAACTATTTACCCACTTCATCTTTTTTAATTTTCCTTTTCTGCACTGAGACACCATCAGGTAATCATAATCATCACTGCTTCTTAATCCAAGCCCTCAAACCAAGAACATCCAGTGCTCTGATCCTGGAACCAGAGAAGGCTGAGTCAAGTTAACCCTTGATTTAGAAAAGGCAAGGCTTCCTTTACAGTATCAGCGGGGTGTTGTGGCGGGGTGTTAAACCAGCACGGGGGAGATCCAGGTTCAAGGCCTAAAAACTCACTACGGGATTTTGAGGCATTTTTTTCTTAGTCCTATCTACTTCACAGGATTGTTGCTGGGTGAGTAAAATTAGCAGAATCTAATTTTACCTTGAACTCATGGCACCTTGAGTTCCTAAAGGAAAGACCAGATGTCCCCCCCACACACACTTTTTGGTGTCTTCAGGTCAATTTTTTGACTCCTGGCGACTACCTGGAAAAGTGCCTGCAGTTTTCTTGGCAAGTCTTTTTGGAAGTGGTTTGCCATTGCCTCCTTCCCAGGGCTGAGAGAGAGTGACTGGCCTTAACCACTACACCAAACTGGCTCTCTAGATATAAATCTAGCAAACAGATAAACCCAAGTGAATCAACATCCCTAGTTTAACAGGACCACCAAGAATTCTTTTTTAAAACTATCCTTAAGCTTCTAGGTTCCCTGTCATAACCCTGAAAGTCTGCAAGGCGCACTCAGAAGCACATTATGCTATAGTTTCTTGGCTTGTTTGTACATGTATGATGGTATTCAACTGCACGGTATTCAGAAACAATTCCACATCATCACATTTAACATGTAAAACCTGAATGGAAAGGAAAATGAAATGCTTCACTTCATTATGGCACATTACAAGTGCCATAACATCAGCAAACGCTGAACACAAAACAGTTTTTTAAAGCATCTATGAAGGAATGTTGACATATCCTGAAAATGAGCTAGAAAAAGAGAAACACCTTTCACATGTGAATCACTTTTAGGGGAGCAAATTTGGGCATTATTTTTTTTTAAATATCTCCTAACACTATGCATGTAGACCTCCCCATTTCAAATGATAAGGAAACAATATTTGCATGCCAGACTCTAACAAGACGGATTTGCCCTGTAAGACAGGATGCACTAATGCCTAACGTTGCTTGATTTAGGTATAGGATGTTTAAATAAATACAATAAAATAAATAAATGCAATAAATAAATAATTTCCTACATTCCCTTTGGTCAAGTGGGCTCACCTTATTTTATCCCCATGACAAATTTAATTAATAATAATTGAACTTGAAGTCCTTAGCTCACCTCTGGTAACAACCTACAATGTAACCAGGATGAGGCAGTAGATGCTATGGGTCTGCTGACATCACAGAGCATATTCCTCCTTTTTGTTGTTGCTGTTGTTGTGGGGCCAGTTGTTTTGTTCCTATCAGGTTGAGTCCAGGTTTTACTAGATCTTCTTTCACATGTTTCAGACAGTTTTCTTTGGGGCTAGTCACTGAACTACCATATACCCTTGACCAAAGAATAGTACAGTCTTTCTATCTGGGATGTCATCCTCTTCCGCCAAGCATACAGCTCTGGGAGGGACACACACATAGAGCGGTAAAGGTGGAAAGGGACACCCCGCCTAGCCAGCCAGATCTGACTGGTGAATTTTCTTTGGAGCTGGGCGCTATACTTTCCAACCCATGAGACATGATATCCTATAAAGGAATTTAGAGTTGACCTTGGGGAAGACATGAAAGAGCCATTAAGGAGGGGCTTGGATGAGAGATTACACAGTTCAGAGATTGAAGGAAACATGAGAAAGAAACCCAAAACAACCCTGCCTTGATTTTGTTTAGTAGAAGATGGGACAGAGAGAAACTTAGAGAGGCTTTCAAGATTCTGTAATTATACCCTACAGCAATAAAATAGCATCCTTGGATTTCCTGCAGTGTCTCTTTGTTCATTTGGCCTACTTTGAAGGACTTACATTTCCCGAACAATCAATAAAAAAGTCAGCATGGGGCTACGTGGCAGATGTGGCCAAACCACTGCATTCAACACTTTCCATTAGTTACCATAGGTTGGTTGCACCACCATTCTTTCATTGCTTCAATTTGTCATAGATTGAAATCTCTCATATTTGGCATAGGCTGCACATTTGGGAAACTTTGAGCAAGTTCCAGAATTCTGCACCATGCAGAAGTATTGGTAGTATTAATGATCAACAGATGCACACTTTGGTAGCAATGCGTATGCTACTTTTTCGCCAGAGGCACCATATCAGTACTCCAAGGGCTGAGGCATTCTTGTAATTCAATTGTTGTTATCAGCTTTAAATCATTTAACCTGTTTAAGATGAGCTCCATCAAAGTGGATGGTTCCCCAAATAATAATATTAACAGTAATAATAATAATTCCCTGTGTGAAAGGTTGGGCAGAGAAAGTATCATTGGTCCAAAGTCACTCAATGTACTCATGAGCTCTGTGGTCAAGTAAATTCTTCAACTTATCTCTCCCCAGTCCAACGTCTTAATCACTATACCATACTGATACTCAATGTTTTGTGAACCAACCATTGATGTCTGAAAATCATTGTTTACAGCTCTGTGTTACAGTTAAAGCCAGCCAGGCTTGGCCACTAGTCTATGATGTAATGTATGAACCCTCCCACTGAGTTATTTTCTGCTTAAAGATCAGCTCATTTGGGATCTTCCCATTATTAACCAAATTATTTGCCTTTTCCAAACCACAGTAAGAATAAGAAGCCAAGCTTATTTTCCCCCCATTTAAGTACGCCTCAAGGGTAGTAACTTACAAGAAAATAGATTAAGAGCAATTTTCAGGAACAGACAGAAAGCAGTACCCATTTGACTGTGGGCAAGCTTTGTCTGTAACTATAGAGGAGGGTGTGTGGGATACATCTGCTTTGGTTTGGTTATGCTTGGGCAAACTATCTGAGAGGCAAAATTAAACTGTGTCATTAATAAAATATTATATTTTGTTCCATTATCCCACAGCAACAACAAAACAATGGCACTCCCAAGTTCCCTCTCTGGCACATATACCACAACTCCCTTTTTTCCCTGTCAAATAAAAGCCTTTGTCATTGGCCTTTTCACTAAAATCATGTGTGGCACAGAGAAAATGCAAGTACTCCCCTTCTAATGAAGGTCATTATGAAGACTGAACATTCTTCCCTCAATTTTTGGCACCTTTCCAGACTTTATACAGGCTAAATCTCAGTTCTCAACATGTATGCTTGTGGGCCATACCAGCTACCTAGATTTTTGCAGTATACAGCATTACATGTAGGCTGAAAAGTCCTGAATCAACTTTCCCCAATTGGGCCCTCCATTAGTTTTGGACTACAACTCCCAGCAGAGATGGGAACTGTAATAGTGAAAGATGTTCAGGTATAATGTTTGAAGAGGCTTCTCAGATTTGGTTCCACAGGAAAGCGTATCCACAACAAATAAACATGCAGATTTCAAGTTGTATGGAAGTATAAATCTATCCACTTGACCATTGCTCTGAAATACAATATTTTGCATGGAAACCAGAGATATCACACTGGTGATATTATTTCCTCCAATAATGTAAAAGCTCTCGTTCTTTTGCTTCTTCTCATACTTTTTAGTGGTTCTACCTAAATCAATTCCAGAAAACAGTTGCCTACAACTGAGAAAAATCTTTACCAACTCCATTTACTAAGGAACTAGAACGAAAATAAATATTTAAAATGCTGTGACTAACCTAATGCTCAACTGAAAGCAAAATAAAAGATAGCTTTTTAGTGTTAATTACTTAGACACAAGAAAAATTGATGTATCTCAAGTACGACAATGGAGATCACTGAACCTCAGACCATTGGCAGGTTCTTATTCAAATTAGGACATCATTAATTAACAATTCTTCAAAACTGATAAATGGAAAGGATGTCTCTAATGATGTATGTGCAGAAGCCACGATCAGAAATTATGACCCTGAAAATATTAGATTCTGGCCTTTTTGTGTTTATTCATCAGTCAATTTTTGGAGACAGTAAAGGAAGATTCTTCTTAGTATAACCCTCTAACAAGTAGTAATCTGACTACACAGATTGCTGTGGGAAATATTTTTCTTCATGTTGTACAATTAATTGCACAAGCTTTTTAATGTAATTTCATTCCATTGTTAGATTATGTTCATTTGAACCAGAACCAAACTGAGAAATTCACCTCAGTTTTTTTCTGCCAGTTCTCATTCAATTTGATGAAAAAGAAATTAGCTCACAAAATTTATTCCAGAGGAGAAAAGAATTTCCATGAAATTCTCATGGATGGGGGATAGTGCTCTTGTATGTTTAGTTACAAGATAGTCAAGGAGGATGTTTGAATGTCCTGTGTTCAGTATTGCATTTCCTTTCCAGCAGTCTGCAGCCTCAGGCTACCCATGGTTCAGGGCAACAAAGGGAATTGCCTTCTTCATGGAACTTCTCCAGTAGCTGTTCTGTAGTCATCATCAACAGAGTCCTCATAAATTGTTGAAGAATTCTGCCTTCTGCTGGAGAAATTCAAAGAAATCATCCATCTAATTTCTCTGCCTATAAGTTTAATGTAGGGTTTCAGAAGGCCATTTGTTCCAGCTCTGGTTCTGACAAACTTTAAAAAGTGGGAGGTGTCAGTCTTATCCATTTTTTTAGGCCCTAAGCCTCGGCAGGTGGGAAAGCCTGGCTGACCTCCTCTAAGCAGGGGA